GTCGAAGTGTCGAACGTCAAGGTCACCCCCCACACTCAAGGTCAAACACCGCATTCAGGCTCATACTACGTGTACGACGTTCAAGGTTAGGTGACGTCATTCAAGGTCGTGTGACGTCTCAAGGTTAAAAGGGGTGGGGGGAGGCGTTCAGTCGGCATTAGCACCCTACTTTTAATTGCTTTTATCTTTTCAATCTCTGCTAATATCCATTATTTTGCAATAGTTTCAAATTGAAGAGGATCACAAATGAACCGTGGAATGTTAAAAAAAATGCGCTGAGTACACTACCTCATAGGTGGCGTGGAAACGTGTGCATATTATTACGATTACAACTTTTACAACTTTTTGAATCGTAATATCTCAAAAACGATGACTCGTAAGAAAAAAGTATTGATACAATTTTTGTAGATAATTTTATGATCTACAATTTTTGTTTGAAATGTTTTTATGATATAACTTACCGTTTTGCTGAAAATCGCGAAATACTCATTTTTTTGACCTTTGGCCTTAGATAATTTTTTTTACATACAGGGGAAAGATGGGGAACTTTCAAATTTTATTTTTAATCATATTTTAAATCATTTTACTGATGTTCAGCTTGGTAGGAATGGGCTCATTCAGACTAATTTATTTTTTTATTGAAAATTATATATTATGAAAGTAAATCATCTCCCAAGTATACCACAGAATTTTACGGTTTATATCTCAATCAACAACTGAGCAAGAGCAATTGAAAAATGTGAGATCGCCCGCGGTACATCGTGACGTCACACCAGGCCAACGAGCTTCGAGCGGTGGCAACCGGGCCTGTAGTTGGAGATTATGAATCGCTGCTATCGTCAATTCAATTTAATTTTCTTCAAAGTAATGTATATATCAGTTCTGGGTAACTGGCATTTTTGAGACAAAAGTTCTATAATAAATAAAGAGTACCTTGGGATTCCAAGACATAATTTCGGATTTTTCTCTATGACGTAAATAGATCTTCGCTCAATATTGTTTTTCGAATTCCAGTTTTCAACTAATATTCCAGACAAAGTAGAATCTGATGATGTATCAACAGAAGTCATGTCTGATGTACTCAATATCTCACTGTCCTCGAGGGAACTTAGTAGTAATTTTTTCCAATACTTTCTGTATTTTCTATTTCTTAAGAAAGGTTTCTTTTTCGATGCTATATAATATTTACGGTCTGTTTAGCTTTTGATCTGCGAAAAACCTGTTTACTAACCTGAATTCCTGCATCAAAGGTCTTTTCCTGTGTACCTGCTTCATCAGACATGATTTGATTTTCAGCGATATCTTAGTTACAAGTATTCAGCAAAATTTGTTTTTCCTTTTTTTGAACGATCGGTGGAGCTTTAGATGTATGGGCTGGCAGTCAAATATATGTGGAATTACGTCTGGTTTCAATATAATTTTTCCCATTTTCATAGTTTTGATATATGTACATGTAATTTTCTAAGTCTGTTTCAACCTAAAATTCAAAGTAGTGCTCAGAGTAAAGTATAATTTTTTTATTAATAATTATCATTCATACTTCCATTGAAATGATCTTCGCAACAAAAATGCGTCCCCTTGGCAGATACAAAGTCGGCCCTCCGCTTAGCGCGCTGCCATAACTTTCGTAACAGTGAAATAAAAATTTTATCCGGTGCAGTTACCGAAGAATTCTTGCATTTAGGAACGATTCAATACTTGTAACGTATTATTTTATCATTATTCATATTCACGCAGTTGACACACTGCAGTAAACATCACGAAACTTGCTTTCTACAGTTTTGCCACACGTATTTTGCTTATCCGCCCTCACTCCCTTGTCGCCGAGTCGACTGATGTGACGTTAAGCTTGACCACGCCTCGTTTCGGTGAACACCACATTCAACAATTAATTTGAGGGGGAAGATAATGAGTGAAAATTCAGATTTTTTGCAGATGTACTATTTGAAACAAAAACTTTCAAATTATGAAATACAAAAAATTGTCAAATGAGCCCATTTAGGTAGCTTCGAATGTCTGAGTTGACCGGACTATAAATGTAGATGAATAAACAACCCGTACCTACCTCGTAGTATGACCTACAGGTATAGGTGCATTGGGGCGTGAAAACAATAGAAAAATGTATAATGTTCAGCTGATGAAATTTTTATCGAACAAAATTGCAATTTGTGATGAATTCAGATTCATCAAGGGTAAACAATAGAGATAATTAGTTGTTTTATGTGTACCTTATTATTTTAATGGCCGCAAATAGCCAGAACATATAATTCAGATCTTGTTTTGTATCATAAAAGTACACAAAAAGAAAAATATCACACAGGATATCCAATAATGGCTTGAGCTGAATTATGAAATGAATTTCCATTAAAAATGACTTATTATTAGTTATCCGCGAAGGTCAAACTTTTTTTGATATATCACGGTTGTGTCCACGAACGCCAGCCATTTCATTTGTTTATTTGATGCGTGATAGATTCGAAAAATAAAAAATGAAGAACCATTTGCAAGAGTTTTTCACAGTTTTCAGTATTTTCATAATTGTGCTCGTTCACGTAATTATTACAATCTTTAATTTGGAAAATTTTTAACTCGACTTTATCATCAGGTGGTTACTTGCTGCGAAAGACCTCTGGAAGTTAGAGGTGTTGAAGATTATTGCTGGTCCAAAGAAGTGGAAGTCGGTGAACGAATACAACGTGTTGAGAAAAAAGTTGTGAATTTTGCCAAGAGAAAATTAGGCATGGATGTTGATGAACCAAGCGAACCTCAAAAAGTAATTTGAACTCAGATTTTCCATTTTTTTCAATATGCATTGAAGTTTAGAAAATAATCCTATTCCTTTTTTCAGTGTAATTATTATTACTGCGTATTCAAAGAGTTGAAATTGGTGAGTAATTTTTCATTTATTTTGGAAAAAACAGAATACATTTCATAGAAGGTAGGTAATAGAATATTAACACCAGCTGAAACTTTTTCATAAATATTACTAATCACTACATTTATAAAACGAAGTCATCCCAACGTGTCTGTCTGCCTAAACGCGATAAACTGAAAAACTAAAGAAATTATTTTCATACGGTTTTTACCGATGGACGGAACGATTCAAAAGGAAGTCGGGGATGTGGTGCTAGTCGGGAAGCTCTGCCTAATCCGATTGAGATATAACAAAACATTGCAGTACATATTGTTCTTCTCTTATGGGTTTTCAGAAAAGTCAGCGATGATATATGTCTATATTTTAAGGAAAGCGTTTCGCTATACAATAATATCTTCGGTATTGTGACGCCCGACACGTGTTGCGCTGTGCAATAGCATTTTTAGGCGTCACGATACCCAAGATGCTATTGTATAGCGAAACACGTGTCGCGATTTTGTATACTTTCAAGTGGAAATCTCACATTAAAGTGTGTTTTCTGAATATGTTATAATGAATTTTCATTGAGTATCGATCAGTTCTATCATATTTTTTAAGTATAGCCTGCTAAACTTATATAAATATCCGGAACAATGGTCACATATAATGTGGTATTAAAACTACCGCGCGAGAAATCAATTCAAGCGGCCTCACAAACCGACGAGTTATTAAGAAAAATTGCAGTAGGGTGCTTCAGTTAAATCTGATTTCGTGAATTTTTTTGTACTTGTCGTCGAAAATACAATGGCAAAAATTTCAAATCGATAGCATTCACTGTTATCGGAGTACGCGACTTTAAAATTGTGCGTTTGACGAAAGTTAGTGTGACATCACGAGATATGTGTAATTGTTAGTATAGCCTTTGAATCATGGCCAAACTGTTATAACTGTTTTTCAGCTGAATAACTATGCCGTGAGTGTCATACCAAGTTTCGTCCCAATAGAAAATTTGCCGTTTTTCTTGTCTGTATTTAGTTATTTGTTCTAAGTATTTGTTACGTGATTCCACTTTTCTTCTGCTTTGTATAACTGCTTGATGTTTGTTTTTCATTTTAAATCTAAATCCTAGTTTCTTTATCCAATTCTGAAGAGTTTTGTCACAGCAGCTCACGTTATGGCTGGAAAGATTCAATTTCTTCTTTATGATTTCACTTATAGGAATCTCATTGCTTTTGTAACAGTCCTATATTGTTTTTTTCAATGATTTTATTATTTGAACATCTAAAGGTTTTGGTAATCCCGTATCACATCGCGTCTTGCGTTCATAAGGTTCGTTTTTGACTATTTTACGTACAGTTGAGAAAGACATTTCGGTCAAATCTGATGTTGCTTGTAATAGTTTGTTTCCCTCGAAACCAAAGTTGAGATGTAGATTCTTATATACGTTGAAACATACTCTCTGTGTTTCAAATATTCAAATGTATCCGAATCCTATTCACTGCTTTCTTCGCATTGTTCACCATCGCTATTGGAATCACTACACAGGAAAAAGTCAGCGTTGTTATCACACTCGTTATTACTATTAGTACTTGTCCAAGGACGGCACATTTTAAACAGATAACAAAAATTTTAAGTAATTATAACTGCACCAATATTGAATTTCAACACTCACATCGCGATCAGTTCCTGAACTGAACATTGACAACACGACTGCTCGTATTCTATTCGTCACCGTAACATGACTTCAAAATTTATTTTATGACTCTTCAGCCAATCATAAAACTTGGTTAGTAAAAATTATCCAATACGAACCGCCAATTCTTAAGTCCACGTGGACTAATTGGCAGCGGCTTCATTTCTCTGTATTGGTTTTTTTGGCCTTTGAGAATGCCGACACTTTAAGTATGCACGATACCGGTTACTTCGACTGTAACTACTGCACATCGAACCGCACTTTCTTCTCTACTTTGGACCAAAATTTTTCAATAAGATGAACAGCACAATAAGAGACTCGCTAAATATTTCGATTTTTTAAGCACGATTGAAAGCCTATCTAATCCAATAAATTTTTGCAAATCAATAATTCGTCAACCGAATCGGGCAACTATTATTAAAATGTTCTTCCCTTTCATATGTTAATGACTTGTAAATGTTTTTAAATTTGTATTGTATTATATTCATTATAATTGACTACAACGATTAGGTAAATTACGATATTGCAAAGTTTTAATGAAATAAATAAAAAATGTGTATGAATATTTCAACTAATTGTACTAAGAATTTTTCTTTCATTCTTAACCGTCTCAAAAATTAATAAGCACGCCCCCGATTTGCTGTCAACTGGGCTTACTTCTACTCTCAATCATTATTGGTTTTAGTATAATACCATAATTGTATAACTTCGATATGAGAATATCATGATCAACACAGTCGAAAGCTCGACTCAGGTCACAGAAAATGCCGTAAGGAATCTCTTTTCGATCAATTGTAGTTGTTTTTTCTCTTCGAAAACCGTGTTGGCTGCTAGTTAAAATGTTAAATTCATTCAAAAAGGCAATGAGTCTTTCTAAGTAACAATATTCTATTTTTTATTTTTTTTATATATATAACCACTTTTTCACCAAGAGGATTTGAGGCTTTAATAACTTCTAATTATGATTGTTTGAGTAGAGCCATGAAGATGATAGCACATTCTGCTATTGAAAGCGCTTGCATATAATAATTAGAAGTTATTGAAGCTGCAAATCCTTTATGTAAAAGAAGTTTTCATACTTTTCAACGAGAGAAGTAAATAAATATTATTATCATTATTAAAGGCATCCTCACAACAAAAATTACTTCAAGACAACAAGCCTTGTTGACTTTTTTATTTTTGGTAATTGTTACAAACAATTTGTTTGGTACATTTCGAGTTGAATAATTATATCTGTGTACTCTATACATACTTTTCTGGTATTTTTTTATTCCCCATACTTCCACAACATAGGTTAATGAATAAAAAACTCATCACCTGAAGACGCTAACTTGGTAGAAGAAACGCGCGTTGAAAAGAGCATTGCATTTCTGGGATTGGTAAAAGTGCTTGTTTTGGAATGAACGAGTTGTCAACTGCCACCATTTGTGTATCTTTTCAATTCTCTCCGCCTTTTTGAACATGTGGAAAAAGTTCTTTGTTTTGAACTCAAAAATAATTTAACTTTCACAGTGTTCACGCAGAAATGTCTGAAGTGAATGGTGATTAACCAGCTACGCATTTCATATATCTAGTGACGTCACACCCTGTTTCGCAGACCGCTTCATTGATGTTGATTTATGAAACACAGAATTTACTCAGAGAATTTTTTTTACCAGGTTTCTTCAAATTTCGAACTGATTTCTTTTGTGTAATATTTACGTAATAGATCATATTGGAGGTTTTTGATTTGAGTTGGACATAGGTAGATAGATACTTACCTGCTTGAAAATTAAAATCGATAATTGTGAACAGTTTTTTTAGTGAACTTCTTCAATGGTCATTATTGTTAGTTAAAAGCCAAGTCAAGTTGCTAGTAGATACTTATTGATAAAGCACTTAATATACTTATTATAAAGCATATATAAAGAATATTTGTGAAATGAGTTATGGGCGGCAGTACAAACTTTTACAAGATTAAGGTTCGATTTTGTCGTTGTTGCACAACTTCGGTTTTAGTGGGTTTCTCTGTCTTTGTTTGTACTGCATTTCTTAATGTCACTGTTTCAAATTATTGTAATGTTTTAGTATATTATGCAACGATCATGTAATGATGGTTATTAAGACACGAGCATTAACCGGGATACGAAACGAGCCGAAGGCGAGTTTTGTATGGTATATGCGAGTGTATTAATAACCATTACATGAGAGTGCATACGCTATTTTTTCTAAACCCGATAAATAATGAAAAACTATAAATAATATATTTGTATTGAACACATTTACAGTAATTAACTCATATTTTTTAAAAAAACACAAACTTAATGGTATTATCATGGATATATGAAAACTACAAAGATTCTAATTATATTTATATTGAATATAAAAACTGTAATTAATCTGATCTTTTAAAAATATTGGAGTCAATGGTATTCCTTCTATATCGCTGTTTTCAGACATTTTGATAATATAGGTAGGTAATATGAAAACTGATTTTGACAAATAAAGCAATTAGTTACTTAGGTTAGAATCTAGGACAAACAAAGGAACAGGATTCTTGATTGAAAAATTATGGGTTTCTATTGGTTGATAATCTGTATCGTTATGAAAAATCTGTATCATAATGGATATCATTATGGATAGAGTGCGGGTGTAGAAAAAATGTATTTATGTATGAATGAAGCTATTATTATTATTATTATGAAATGATACCTCTCATTTGCAGTTGAACCAACAATATGATGTGCCTTGCATTGACAAAACAACCGACTGGGTTAAAAGGAATGTAATATATGAACAAGCTCTAGTTCTACTCGACAGAATTGAAATGTGTACTGGGGAACTGGCAAATTCAACATGTAAGAAAAAATTTATGTATTTGTAAACTGATTAGAGGTTAATGAAGAAGGAAATGTTTCACAAATTTGATAAAAATGGCATTTAAATAATTTTACTGGGGAACTGATGGCAATTTCCAAATAAATCATTTGACACATTCCAATTTTGAATTGTCTGAAGTACTCAGGGCGATTTAGGACGAGTTACAGACAGAAATAAAAACTGAAAGGATACAAAAATTCGCACCCAGCTCAAAGTTGTTTACATTGTTCAAAACAATATCATAAATGAAATCTAAAAAGTCCTCATCGATCCCATACCTGGAAAAATAATCACTCAGGATTGAAGTCACAAAAATGCGATTTTCAGAAAAATGGTAACTTTTATCATAAAATTATTTCAGACAAAAATTGTAAATCATAAAAGATATTGTCTAACTACTTTTTTTCTTAAGAGCCACAGTTTCTGAGGTATAACAATTCAAACAGTTGGGAGAGTTGTAATCGTCGTAATATGCACAATGCACACGTTTCCACAGCACCTTTGGGGTAGTGTATTTAGCGCGTTTTTAACGTGGTTTTTCCCGTAGGCCTATTCCACGGATTTGTTGTGATTCTGCTTAATTTTAAACTATTGAGTAATAATAGCTATTTATGATATGAGTGTTAAAAAGTTTGCAAAACGAGCGTAGCGAGTTGAGCAATTTCATGTACAAAATAAAACTTACTTTCAACACAAATATCTGAACAGGATTCTTGATTGAAAAATTATGGGTTTCTATTGGTTGATAATCTGTATCGTTATGAAAAATCTGTATCATAATGGATATCATTATGAAACGGATTATGGTCATATAAGTGTATTGTTAGAGTACGGGTGTAGAAAAAAACACATTTTGACATCTCTTGTCAGTTAACTATTTTCATGTTATAGCATTTGCTGTGAAGTGTTCGTGTCAGGTGACACCTGGTTACCAACAAACAGTATTGTTTACAGCTCACGCGTTTTATTTGAAGTCACATTTGAAGTTCTTGCTGATGCTTAATGTATTGCATAATGAAAAACAATAGTAAGGAATTGTGTATTCCTGACGATATTGAAGAGGCTGCAAAAAAAGCTTCAGTTAGCTGGAGTAGGCTTAAAAACGTTGAAGGAAATTTCAGCGAAACCTTCTTCTTAGCCTATCTAGAAAAGAAATCAAAAATATGAAACTCGCCAACTTTGTGGAGCAAGTTTTCAATGATAAAGTCAAGGGCGCTTGTTAAAAATTATGTTAATACAAGCAAATATATCAAGGTAATAACATTCTTCAAGCAGAAAAATTAAAGTTATAGGCCCAAAAAATCAAAAACTTACGTTTGAACAAGTCCAGAGGTTTATAAATGAGGCGCCAGATGAAAAATGTTTGATGATAAAAGTTTTCGGAATATATGGAGCCTGCCGGCGTGAAGAGCTGTGCCATTTATTAACAGAAGACATTAAATTAATGAAAAAATCATTGATTGTTCAAATTCCAAATACAAAAACGAAAATAGATCGTTCTTTTCGCATTATTGAAAAAAACATTGACTATTTTAATAAATATTGCCACGTATTTATTGAAATAGTCAAAAGGGCGGGATGCCCTTCTGTTATCAATCATCAACGTTATTTTCTGAAATACTCAAATTATAAATGTAGTGCCAACTCAGTTTTGAAAAATGCCCTCTACCATTGCTGAGTTTCTTAACCTCCTGGGCCCAAAGGAACATACAGGTCACTGCAAATATAATGGATATTAAAAAGCACGGAGGATGGAAGTCTACAACAGTAGCTGAGGGTTACATCGATCAATCTATTTCTTATAAAAAGGCTATATCTGAAAGAATAATCCCAACAGCTACTTACAGCATCGTACTCTCCACTTCAGAAATTAAATGTTAATACCCATGAAGTTGTCAACTCAGATAGTTCAAATATATTACAAGGCTCTTCAACATCGCAAGGTATTAATATCAGCAGTTCTATTTGTACTTTTCATATCAATGTTCATGAATAATAATAATACAATTAATGTATATTATAATAGTGGTCTGCTAGATTGAAGTGTTCATCTTTCCCTCCAACCGATTTCCTGGAGTCTTTGAAGTCCACTAGATACTCGTTAGGACAAGAGGATTGTTCCGAATTCTTGGGGTTCTTGTTGAATATTCTTCGTGAGCAAAACAATAGCAGAATCAATACTCCTGACCGCTCTGGATTGAATGATTCCATACAGTCTATCTCGTCTAGTATTTGTAAATCTTTTGCTGAAAAAATCCTCACTTGTTTACTTTGTAGTAGATGTTCTAGAGGTAGCAAAAGCGAATGTGAATTTCTGGAACTTCAACTAGCGTTTTCTAATATGACTAAAAACCAGTCCGTGAAAAGCTTTTTGTTAAATCATCTGAAAATGGAACTTTTAACAGGTGATGATCGAGTGTATTGCCAAACATGCGCCAAATCAACTGACTGTTATAAGGAAACAAGTATAGCTGAGGCACCAGTCAATCTAATAATAACACTAATGATCTTCAAACATGACTCAACCTCTGACGTAAGCACCAAACTCTTACGAAGGTTCGAAATAGATGAACACTTCAATCTAGCAGACCACTATTATACTATTCATGCAGTCATTGTTCACTGTGATTCTGGCGTTAAATTTGGTCATTATTACGCCTTGGTTAAAGACGAAACGGACTGGTTTAAGTTTGACGATAGTCGTGTCACGAAGTGTTCTGGCGATGTATTGAATCTATTGGAGCCTCTGGAGACACCCTAATTTTGTTTCATGAGAGAGAGGACATTCGCAGATCTTCAGATGATGTGGTGCTGCAGGTTTTTCCGGGTTTTTCTGCAGCTGAAAAAGCAAATGAGCCACTGGAATCAATGAAGTCGCCCCGGAGCACCAATTATTTTTTATTGTTGTTTTATAATTTCATTAGATTATTATTAATGTATATAATACATTTGTAACAGAATTTAATTGTATCTATATCTCTTGTTCATAATAAAACTTCATCGAAAATTGAATAATTACGTTTTGTTTNTAATGAATTGGTACATTTTTCCGTTTCAAAAATGAACAAAATTTTATTGAAATCGGTCAGAAATAAAATTATCTATGTACCACGGGAATTAATGAGCCTTAATAACCTCAGGCAATTGCTGTCCCTCGGGCCAGGGGCTCTCGGGACGCAAACTTTGCCATCGGTAATTAAGGCCCTCCTAATTCCCTTGATACATAAATAACTATAACACGCTACTACATCATCTTTTAATACCCTCGACAACCATTAAAAATGTCACTTTTAATGACATTTGTACAAAAAAGATATCAACAACATAAGTGCGACATACATCATTGATGGAGGATATTTATTATAGCACGATGAATGGGATAGCGAAGAAACGTTCAACGTTATCCTAGATAAATACGTTCAGTATGTACGTCGATATTCCAGTCCCAGAGTTACGTATTTGATGACTATAATGATTTTACAAGAAATATTAAAGCCGCAGAACAACCTCGTAGAACTTAACCAACATATTCATCTTCTGATATTTTATTTGATCAATCTCTGATAATTCGTACCAGTCCACAGAAATTGCTTGCAAATACTCACAAAAAATCTAGGCTCATTTCAATGTTGAAAAAAGTTTACTGCTGAAAATATATTGGTGAAACAAGCTAATAATGATGCTGATGTAATGAAAATTTAAACAGTAGTTGAGTAATGCAATTTAACAAACACCACTATTGTTGTACATGAACACGTATATTTACTCGTATTACTCACTACTCGAACTTCATTCGAAAAAAACATTTTTGAAAACCTGGAAAAGCTCAACATCAATCGTAAATTTTTGCAAAGTGTCAAAATCATGCACAGTTTTTACATGCAGTAACTGACTGTGATACATCTGCATTTTTCAGGAACTCCTAAAAAACTACGTGCTAAGATAAGTTGCGATACGCATGTTTCGTTAACAATACTCGAAATAAAAAACAAGTGCAGTTAGCTCAGCGGCTACTCATCAACATTTTTTAGGTGTATATTACCAAGTTCAAGTGTGGTTTGGTTATCAGCTAGACCCAAAAGGCTGGGGTTGGAAGTTAGTTGACAGTACATTAGAACCATTTCAGACTTTACGCCCATCTGCGCCGGAAAAACTGCTAAACACAATTTGTTGCAACTTTAAAAAAGTATGTAGTGCTAGATGTGGTTGCAAAAGATTTGAACTGTTTAGCTTGTACAAATTTTCAAGGCCGGTCGTGCTCCAATGTCGAATCACCAACAGTGATTCGTTTGATACCAACGAGTATACTTGCGACGTATCCCTATTGAGGCAATTTACTTGCACTCATTGAAGAGACGAATGAATTTCCCTATTTTTCTTAATTTATACTGTTTTTATCATTTTCAACCCTTGCCAATATTTTATATTATTCAATAGTTTCAAATTGAACAGAATCACAACAGATCCGTGGAATAGGCCTACCGGGGAAACCATGTAAAAAAAAGAGCTAAGTACACTACCACAAAGGAGGCGTGGCAACGTGTGCAAATTATGACGATTACAACTCTTCCAACTTTTTGAATCATATCCCAGGAACTGTGGCTCTTAGGAGAAAAATTTTCAGATCTATAATTTTTGTCTGAACTAATTTTATGATAAAACTGACCGTTTTGCTGGAAATCGCAAAAAACCTGTTTTTGTAACCTTTCACCCCAAGTTTTTTTCCAGGTATCGATTCGATGAGAATTTATTTTTTATTTCATTTATGATAGTGTTTTGTACCTTCGATCACTATTTTTTTATCTAACTTGACCAGATAACAACGCGGTATCACATTCATATCACCACCTTCACCACCTGTTGGTGAAGGGGAATTGAACATAGAATCATTCCTCGTGAAATATGAAATAGACTTGTCTCTGAGTTTTGTATAGGTACTTATTATTTCTCAACAGTGAGAAATTGTGATTAGATCCTTTTTGAATAAACAGTGTATAAAGCGGAGTAGTAGAAACTTTTAATGGCCACAAAAGGTACTTCCCGATTTAGGCTAAATCCAAACAAGATGTCCAGAAAAAGTAATAATTTTTCAAATAAATATATTTCAGATATATTTGTAGGAAAGTATATTGTTGTAAATCATCCCCTAAAAAAATAACACCGACCGCCGTTGGTGACGTGCTCAACTCGACGTGCGCTCGCGGCCGTTCTAGACGTGGCGTTGCTTCATTACCTGGAATAAAGCTTCGATGGAATTCCGGCGAATTTTCTACCGTCTTCGATTGCCATATACATATAAACGCTACCCACGAGCCTATCGATATAGTAAAGTTACGCGGACAGTGACGTACACAGCGATCTGACAGGGCGATAATAGTTGAAGCGAATAATAGTTGCACTTTTAGTTGAAGTGTTTGGTTGTATTAACTCTGAAATATTGTAATCAATATTATTGTAATCAATTGTAATCAGTGATTATTGTAATCAATTATTGGTGAACCCACGAGGAAGGCAATATGTATGAGAATTTCATTAGTTAGAACTTCCATTGTCTAATAAGATATAAATTGATTAGAAATACCTGAAAGAATCTGTAAACAATTTAAAAAGATTAGCTGAAAAATAACAATTATATTGAGCAAAAAAAACTGAAATTACAATGAAATAAAACACAAGCAACAACCAAACCAAAAAAAATCAAACAAATCAAACCATTAACATGAGATGAAAATAAAAAAAATTATTAACAAGAAATGAAAATTAAAAATTAAAAGATTCCAAACCAAGTTACTTCACGACATTTCGATTGTTAATATCCACAATCGTCTTCGGATGACAGATCCTCCGAGATCTGACTATTTATAAGTCATTCGAGTGCTTTCACCTATCACCTCTTCCCTCTCTCCGCATCATCGGTTTTAGCGGAAGCTGACCGTTTGGCAGGAGTTGGTCGTGTTCCGCTTGATTAGAGGTTTCCATATGTTGCGTATCTCTACGCTAGCTTGGCTAAATGCGTTGTTGGACAACATATATGCGGCTTTTTTGAATTTTCCCCCAAACCAGTGTTCTTTCTTGTGAATGATTTCAGCTTGAGCCCACTTGATGTTATGTTGATGAGTACAAACGTGCTCTGCTATTCCGGATTTGCTGGTTTCTCCTTGCTGTGTGTGTTTTTTTTGCTCGGCAATGCGAACTTTCAATGGCCTCTTAGTTTCACCGATGTATGATTCTCCGCACTCGCAGGGTATCCGGTAAATACAATTCTTGGAATCGCAGTCCTTGTTTGGTGGCATGGTTTTTGCGAGGCTGCTACGGATAGTGTTCTCAGATCGGAAGCAGGTTCTGATGTTATACTTCGACCCAATCCTTCTTATCCTTTCCGACAATCCCCTAATGTAGGGAAGTATAAGTACTGGTTGTAGCGGCTTCTCTTCCTTGTGTAACTCTTGCTGTCTTCTAGCTAAAGCCTGTTCCACCATCACTTTGGAGTAACCATTTCATTGAAAGTCATTTTTGATGATGCCTAGTTCCTTTTCGAGATCTTCCTTTGTATAACAGAGCCCGAAAGCACGGTCTAGTAGAGTCTTGATGATTCCTCTCTTAGTCGATTGATGGTGGTTGGATTCCTGGTTCAGATACTGTCCTGTGTGAGTGGGTTTTCGTTATACAGATGTTTCCCATTTATTGTCAGTTCTCTTCATCAATATGTCCAAGAATGATAATTCGTTGTGGACTTCCTTCTCCATTGTGAAAGTGATGGAAAGACTTACGTTGTTGATGTGCTTCAGGAAGGTGTCTAGTTCTGCATACCCATGGTTCCATATTATGAGGGTGTCGTCCACGTATCGCAACCAGACTCGGGGCTTCTTGTGGGCTTCTTTAATGGCCAGAGTTTCAAACCACTCCATGTATATATTGGCTATAATCGGTGAAAGTGACGATCCCATTGGCAGTCCCTCATCTTGCGTAAACTACCTTCAAACAAATATGTATGAGAAGTTGAGATAATGAGTATTTCATATGATCGTGCCATCCAACTACAATGCTGCATATGGCACATTTTTGTGAATTTCTTATTTTTATATTCAGTTAGTAGGTATGAACTACTGCCCCTTCGATCAACAGAGGGTGTTTTTACTGTTTAAAAAATCTGTTTTTCCGTTAACCAGCTGTCGCACCCCTACGAACGACAACCCTCAGAAGTCGAAACTTGTGCGAGCTAAAGATTAACGAGGTCTTACCTTTTAACGTGTGATTCCTAACACGGGTTGGACGGTAGCAAGTGAAGATCGATGGTTCAGACTAGGGCTTGAACCACCGACCAACACGGCAGTCAATTCGAGTGAGTGAACAAAGCACACACGCCGAACCGCTTGGCTATCGACCGACTATTCAAAGTCAATCTTCTACGAGTATCTGACACTCATTTGAAGACCCTCATTGGTTGATTATCCTTTCAGATGTATATATGTATAGCTGTAACATATAGTTCTGGTGATCTTATGATGATGTTAACTTGGTTAGCAAAACACACGTTGAGAGTCTGTACTTTTGTTCAGGTGTGTGAAAAGAGTTTTTTCGATGTGCTGAATGTAGTAATGCTTTTTATATAGAGCTTGACCGTAAATTTTTCTTCCCATAATAATGGGAATTATTCTACTTTGGATCAAGGTCCTTGGTCTTCCTCCATATCCACCATGTATAGGAATATTCAATACAAATGAAAGGAAACATAACACTTAAATAATATTGTGCTTATTGTTTTCTACTATTATTTTTTCTATCTTCACGGCCCGAAACTTCCCAACTTTTTCAAGTCGAAAAAACAGCAAAAAGTTGGGAATTTTGTAAAATTGTCACTTCAAAATTTGTAGACTGTTCAGAACTGTTCTCTAACTTGGGAGAAATTAAACTTTTTTGAAGTTTTCAAACAACTCAGAATTTCAAAGTACTTATGGGATCTCCAAGTTATGCATGCTGCGAAATCCCAACCTTCTCCCGGTTCGTTCCTTTTTCTTTTTACCTCTCCCTTTCTCTTCTCCCATTTTTATGTTTTTAATTTTCATTCATTTTTTTACTATTATTTTTTTCTATCTTCACGGCCCAAAATTTCCCAACTTTTTCCCAAGTCAAACTAAATAGTTTGTGAAAATAAACTCTTATGAAAAAACGAATATGCACAATAACAATTTTTTGTATTTCCAGTGTCAGGTTATTCCTTCAAGGCCGATAATGTTGATAAATCCCCTGAAGGTGGGTCAATTAATTTCATTTACACATTTCAATAATACAGTTGAAACATTTTGTAGATCATGTAACTGACAGTCCCTCGGAACCTCAAAGTAAATGTGAAATTTCCGCTGAATACATGAAGTGTCTGTCATATGTCGAGAGGGAGCAACAAGTGAGTATATCTCCCAGAAAAAATTGTCAATCTTATTAATTCTCTGAGCAACATGAACAATAAAATTCCTCAATATTTGTTTCTCGACTTGCAGTGGGAGGAAGGGTGTCATTTTGGGGGTAATTCTCCTAAATGACGCCTCATCAAGAATGAGTGTATACTACAATTCCAAAATAGTAGGCACTGAATTCTCAGAAATTCTCAAAAAACTGACGATTTTTGCCTTAATCTGCCTCTTGCAGTGGCGTACGGAATTTATATTAAACAGATGAGGAAAAATAGTGATGAAATATATAGAATCAAAACCTTGACAACAACATTTTCGTTTTAATACAATAATATTTCTGAGATTTTAGTGCCTACTATTATGGAAGTGTACTATAGCTGTGTCGAAAGAATGTATCACTCGAATAATATTGAAAACGGCACTGTGATTGACGTTACATCACCTTCGCACTAACCAATGATTTAAGATTGATTAATTGTTCCATCATTTTATGTTATTCAAAATCAGTAATTTCAACAAAAACAACTAGTCGAATCAACGAAGGCTTTTTTACCGGACATTCTCAGAAATAGCTCTGATTTTGATGATTTAAAAAAAATGTTTGTGGAGCGGAGACAGAATTATTCATATTGTTACTTTTTAAGAAATTCACTTTTGCGTGGCTTCTCTTCAAAAAAGTCCTTATTATTATTAAAATAACAACAGTACATTAGATAGTTACATAATAACTATGTCATCAATGTTAAATAAGCTGTTTTTGATGGATATAATAATGATTTAACTGAAGCATCTGAGAAAAATTATAGATATAAAAAGTTATACTCCATTCGACCATTCATTTGAATACATTTATATTTTTCAAGAAATAGCCAAAATAAAAATAGGTCTATTAATTTTCTCTGCAAAATAACTGTTCCATGATGTAGTTGTTGTAACAGAGAATAATTGTGTTAGGTGTTATCGATGGTTTTGACACTTGAAGATAGAGAAATGTTTTTCAAACCAGTCAAGACTGAAGCCTTACAATAGATTAATTTGACAAAAGCTGTGTTAAAATATTCTAATATTACAACAAATCTTCTCTTCACTGGATGTAACACTACATCCGCTATTTATGATGTAACTCAAGGCGAATTGCCTTGAGTTACATCCATCAGCTGAAACTTCCATGGTTGGAGAACCAAGTGAAGAAGTACTTTATTTTATTGAAAGTATCATTTGTATTCTCAAAATTTATGCTGCTAAAACTGCCAGAAATGTTAGGGAACCGCCATTTGAACGTTTCATAGCATTAACTCCAAAAAGAACAACAATTTGATCTTTAATGATAAAAACAGTACTTAGGTAGTTACTCGACAGGGATTAAAGTATAGAGGAAGGTATTTATAATGGATAACTCCATACCTGTCGAGCTACTATCGCCTGTTTTTTTTTTATACAGGAATACATTGTCAATTTGGGATATCTCGGAAAACAATATACAACTCGGCTATTTTCAAATTTTTTTTTCGAATACATATATTTTTCGAACCGTTTAAAGTATAACATTTATTTAAGATTTCTCTCAGATGGATATTTTCCATCATTATTATATCCATCAAAACGGCTAGGTAGGTGCCATTGTTATTAATTAAATGTCTGATCAATCAGTCAATCAAACATTTATTGAATCAATTTTCCTTCACAACCAATTAGACAAAAAAAAACATCATCATAAAATACTGGCTGATTCAACAGGTCAAACAAACATAAAAAAGTTAATATAAAACATACATAAAAAAAAGTTAATAAGCTACAATCAAATTACGATTCAAGGAAAAACTCATCCACAGAGTAGTATACATTTTGCGATGGAAAAATCTTGAGTCGCCTTTTAAATATATTTACATTTGAGGATTTAATGTCCTTACTAAGCTTATTATATAGCTCAACCCCATAGCACATGGGATGATTCTTTGATACTGTCAATCTACTATGAGGTTGATGTAGTTGA